CTGCTGAATGGCAGCTGTTTCTGGGCAGCAGTTTTGGTGCCAGGACCAAGATTTGCTCCATTTCAAAGCCACGATCTGTGTGTTTGTTTCAGAATCGCATGTGGCGGAAAACCCGCTCCAAGATTCCAGGCAGTGTGTGTGTGGGAGTTGATCCAAACCGGAACTGGGATGCAGGTTTTGGAGGTAGGAATGAAGTTTCTGGGTTCTGGGTGTCCCTGAGAAGAAAGTTCACTTTTCTTATTCCTGGATCCTGTTACACAGGAGCAGCAGTTGCCTTCATATAAAGGATCCGGAACAAAACTGGTCAAATAGGATGGTTGGTTCTTTTTGTGAAGATCATTTTGCATTGATGAGTTGCCAGTGGGCACCAGATGAAGGAAATTATCTAGATCATCTAGAAATGTGTCCCTTCAGATCAATTGTCTTGATGTTCAACAAAGCCAAGTGCTGGGTCCTGCACTTGGGCCACAACAACCCCATGTGATGATACAGCCTGGGGGAGGAGTGGCTGGAGAGCTGCCCAGCAGAGAGGGACCTGGGGGTGCTGATGAATGGGGGGCTGAACATGAGCCAGCAGTGTGCCCAGGTGGCCATGAGGGTCCATGGCCTCCTGGCCTGGATGAGGAATAGTGTGGCCAGCAGGACCAGGGAGGTGATTGTCCCTCTGTACTCAGCACTAGTGAGGCCACACCTCAAATACCATGTCCAGTTTTGGGCACCTCAGTACAGGAAGGACCTTGAGGTGCTGGTGAAGGGCAACCAAGCTGGTGAAGGGCCTTGAGAACAAGTCTTATGAGGAGAGGCTGAGGGAACTGGGGCTGTTTAGTCTGAAGAACAGGAGGCTGAGGGGAGACCTCATCACCCTCTGCAACTGCCTGAGAGGAGGTTGTAAAGAGGCAGGGGCTGGTCTCTTCTCACAGGTAACTGGTGATAGAACAGGAGGGAATGGCTTCAAGCTGCATCAGGGGAGGTTCAGACTAGACATTAGGAAGAACTTTTTCACTGAAAGGGTTGTCAGACACTGGAACAGGCTGCCCAGGGAGGTGGCTGAGTCACCATCCCTGGATGTGTTTAAAAGTCATCTGGATGTGGTGCCTGGGGACATGGCTCAGTGCTGGGCTTTGGAGAGTAGGGTTAATGGTGGGACTCGATGATTTTGAAGGTCTTTTCCAACCCAAGTGATACTGAGTTCATGCTCTTTCACTGCTCTTTGAGCATTTACCAGCACTTCAGGCTTTGCCTGTGGCTGAAGGCCTGTCCTTAGGAGATCCTGGCTTGGTTGACCTTTCCTGACTGTCAGTTCTTCCAGCTTTGCCTTTGTTCCCTCTCTGCACCAACAGGTCCTGGAGCCAGCAGCAACCCCTGCTCAGAATCTTACCGTGGGCCCAGTGCCAACTCAGAGGTGGAAGTTAGATCTGTTGTTAACTTCATTAAGGATCATGGGAACATCAAGGCCTTCCTCACCCTCCACAGTTACTCCCAGCTCCTGATGTACCCCTATGGCTACAAATGCACCAGACCAGCAGACTACGCTGAGCTGGTGAGACATCATGGCTTGGTTTTACTTCCTTCCCTTCTGTCCAGCTGGTTTTCTCAGGCATTACAGTGAGAGATCGGGATTGAAACAAGAGGCAAAACTCTGCCTTCCATGACCATCCCTGAGAGTGAACAGCAAGGTGGTGTGATGCAACACCTTTAAAAGAGAACTCATGGTCATGTGCAAACACCTGCCACCCCCACCCCATCTCAGTCCTCTTTGCTCATCCATGGTTCCTGCTTTCTGCTTTAATGAGGTGATATGGATCTCACCATCATCATTCCAATGGAGAAGTCCTTTGGAGGTCTCTAGTCTAACCTTCTGCTGAACTCAGGCAGGCTTTGGAGTCAGGGCCAATTTCCAGGTTGGATTGAGCTGCTTAGGGCCTTGCCCAGCTGAGTTTGTTTTGGTATTTCTAAAGACAAATTCCACAGCTTCTTCAAGCCCTTCCCAAAGCTCCCTCATGGTCATGGTGGTTTTCTTGTAATACCTGATACCTAAATGCAATTCCCCTTGTGCCAATTTGTTTGTTACCCCTCACCCTTTTTTTCCCCCCCCTCCACCACCAAGAAGAGCCTGGCTCTGTCTTCTCTACAACCATCATGTGGCTGAAGTGAGCACAGAGCTGGCCACTGAATGTTGGAAGCTCTCCAACTGCCTTTGGATTTTGGAGTATCTTTTGAACCTTCTCTTGACAAAGCAGTAGGTGAGGTGAAGCCCTGGATGATCAGCTGTAGGACCTGCTAGGATTTAATTCACATGCAATGTCACCTCCCAGAAACACCATGGAGGAAGCTCTTGGGTGTTGTCCTAGATACCAGTGATGAAGAAATCGGTTGATTTGGCACTGGTGTATTGAGGGGGCTGTGAAGAACTGGAGATTGTGTCAAAGTTTCTGGAGATTTCCATTAGTTTCATCAAAGGTGGCTGTTTTCTGACCTGTCCTTCATCTTCTCCTCTCCAGGATTCCCTGGGAAGAATGGCTGCCAGATCCATCCGCTCCGTGCACGGCACCACCTTCACAGTGGGAAGCATTTGCACAACCATCTGTGAGTGTTTTGCTACTCTGAGCTTGGATGGCCTGTCCCAGGGGAGCAGTCTGTGTGTCCCATCCTCCCTGAAGTGATTGTCCCTCTGTGCTGGGCCCTGGGGAGGGGACACCTGGAATCCTGGGGTCAGGGCTGGGCCCCTCAGGACAAGAAGGACCTGGAGGGGCTGGAGCGTGTCCAGGGAAGGGCCCCGGAGCTGGGGAAGGGGCTGGAGCAGAAGGAGAAGGGGCTGGAGAACTTGTGAGGAGCAGCTGAGGGAGCTGGGGGTGTTGAGCCTGGAGCAAAGGAGGCTGAGGGGAGACCTTCTGGCTCTGCAGCTGCCTGAGAGGAGGCTGGAGCCAGGGGGGTCGGGCTCTGCTCCCCAGGAACAAGGGACAGGACAAGAGGGAACGGCCTCAAGTTGTGCCAGGGGAGGTTGAGGTTGGATCTGGGGAACAATTCCTTCCTGGCAAGGGTTGTCAGGGCCTGGCCCAGGCTGCCCAGGGCAGGGGGGGAGTCCCCATCCCTGGAGGGGTTTCCAAGCCCTGCAGATGGGGCTGAGGGACACGGGGCAGTGGGGACTGGGCAGGGCTGGGTTAGTGATTGGACTATGAATCCAAGTTCTCTCCCTCTTGGAAGCAGTGATGCTTCTGTGGAGTCACCACCAGTTGAGCATTGGAGCCAAGTGTTCATGTAAAAACCTCACGTGTCCCTCACAAAGGCTGGACTGCAGAACTCACCCCTCTGGATCTTGTCCTTCTCTTTCAGACCAAGCCAGTGGAGGCAGCATCGACTGGAGCTACGATAACGGCGTCAAATACTCTTACGCCTTCGAGCTGCGGGACACTGGACGTCATGGGTTCCTCCTGCCAGCCAACCAGATCATCCCCACTGCAGAGGAGACCTGGATGGGTCTGCTGAAAATCATGGAGCACGTGAGAGACCACCCTTATTAAAAGCTGGGGTGGAATCAGCTGTCTGGAGCAGCAAGCTCATAAATCCTCTTCCCTTGGTGGGCTTGAGACAGCTGAAGTGACCGAGCACTTGGCTGAATAAAAACCCTTGTGTGTTCCTGCATGGAAAATATCTCTCATGCTTGTCTTGCTCACTTCACCTTTGTGTGGTGGATCCTTTAGAAGGTTTGAGGGCACTGTTGTGGCCCCTCTCTAGGTGACACAGTAGGAACAGTGAGAAGAGGAGGATGGAAGATGTGTGTGCTGGTGTGGCTGTTGAGATGAGGCTCCAGGGAGACCTTAGAGCAGCTTCCAGTATGTGAAGGGAGCCTGCTGGAAAGCTGGGGAGGGGCTTGGGACAAGGGCAGGGAGGGATGGGATGAGGGGGAATGGATTTAAACTGGAAGAGGTGGGGGTCTTAGGTTGGATATTAGGAAGATGTTCTTTACTATGACCATGGAGAAACCCTGGCCCAGGTTGCCCAGAGAAACTGTGGCTGCCCCATCCCTGGCAGTGTTGAAAGGCAGGTTGGATGGGGCTTGGAGCAGCCTGGAATGGTGGGAGGCGTCAGCAGGGGGTTTGGAACTGGATGATCTTTAAGGTCCCTTCCAACCCAACCCATTCCATGATTCTCTTAAGGGTGTGCTGGGAAGGGAGGAGATGCTGGTCTCCTGAGTGCTCCAGGCTGACCTGTCCCCTCTGCAGCTCCATCTCCCTTAGGAAACACATTCATTGTGCTGGGAGCAACCCCAGCCCTTCCAGTGGTTTGTTCTTCTACAAACCTTCCTGTCCCTGCAGCAACCCCTGCTTCCCAGCCAGCCCAGAAACTGCCCCCCAGGGTGCTGAGGGGACAGGGCTCCTAAAGGATTTCTGGAATGTCTGGATTGGAAGTGCTGTGACCTCTTTAGAAGCACTTGAGAGATAAACCAGATCAATCTAGAGAGTGCTCTGCTCCTGCAGGGTGGGGACATCCTGGGGTTCACACGAGCAGGATCATCTGCTCTGGTGGTTCCAGTGGCTGCTTGGAGGGAGCTGGGAAGAAATTCTTTCTTTCTGCAAAACTGCTCCTTGTTGAGCTCAGTCCTGGGGGGGCAGAGCTCAGTCCTGGGGGGGCAGAGCTCAGTTCTGGGGTGCAGAGCTCAGTGCTGGGGAGGAAGAGCTCAGTGCTGGGGGCAGAGGGGCTGGTGGGGAGGTCCTGGTGCTCAGCAGCAAGATCCAGGCTGTGAGGCTGCTGAAAGGACTTGAATTTCCTTTCCCAAGGCTCAGGACCCTGCCAGGCCACTCTCTGCTGGTGGGAAGGAGGGTCTCCTGGTCTGGCATCTCCAAATACTTCTCCTGCCCCTTTTCTCCCTCCCAAATTTGCTGGGGGGGGGGCACAGTTGGAGGTGGGAGAATCACAGAATCCCAGACTGGTTTGGGTTGGAAGGGACCTTCAAGATCATCCAGTTCCAACCCCCTGCATGGGCAGGGACACCTCCCACCAGCCCAGGCTGCTCCAAGCCCCATCCAACCTGCCCTTGGACACTTCCAGGGATGGGGCAGCCACAGCTTCTCTGGGCAACCTGGGTGAGAACAGCCTGTGGATCCAGGACCCTTGTTCTGCTCTTCAGGCTGCTCATTTCTTGGGGGTCAAGAGCTAAACCAGCTCAGGGGCCTGGTCAGGAGCTCTGCAGGATCAGGAATCATCAAGTCTACCAGGTTTATCTCCATGGCTTGTGACCCCCAAGTGAGCAGAGGGTTAGTTCAGACACAAAGGACATGGGACTCTTGGCAGGGAGATAAGGGAGAGATAAGGGAGAGGAAGGTGGAGGTGCAGCTGAGGCCTCAGGAAGCACCACATGGGCTTGGTTTTGGGTTAAGTGGAGCTGTTTTGGAAAGCAAAGCCAACCATGGAGCTCCCTGCCTCTGTCCCTGTCCCCTCTGCTCATGGTGGCACCTGCTTCCAAAATCCTGTCCTTCAGCTGGTGATAAAAACACCTCTGGGCAATCCCCAGGAGATGGGAAGGACCAGGAGCACACAGTTGGCTCCTGGATCCAGCCAACCTGCTGCCACCAGAGTTGGAGACCTTCTGGGAAGTGGTGGGCAGGAGCTGTGGAGCCTGAGGAGCCTCAGCTGGGCTTGTGGCCTTGCCCTGGATTTGAAGCTCCATCCAACCATCCAGGTCTTGAGGCCACCTGGGCCCTCTTCTTGTGAGAGTGTGGCTTGGTGAGAGGTGCATCCAGTTTTTGGACCCTGACACCAAAGAGACCTGGAGTAAGACCAAGGGAGGCCACCAAAAGGAAGAGGAGGAGGTGTCCCATGATGGGATGCTGGGGGAGATGGGTTGGTTTGGCCTGGAGATGAGACAGCTTTGGGGTGGGGAGGGGCTAAGTGAGATGCTCCCATCCTTGTGAAGAGGTTATTGAGGAAACAGAGCCAGGACCTTCACCACCAAGTGTGATGGGAGAGACAACGAAGAGCCAGGAAAATGCTTTTCCACCAGGACAGAAGGATCCTGAAACCTGATATGGAGGGACCTGCTCTGCCCCCAGAGCTGGAGATACCTTCCAGAAGGGCAGATGCAGACTTCCTGTGGTCCCTTCCCACCTCAGCTGCGCCATGATCCTGCCTCATGAGGACCTCTACCCTGGCATCTCCATCCAGGACCAGGAACATCACTGGTTCCACACTGGGAAGCTGTAACAGACCCTAGACCAGAGAAACACCCTGGTTTTAATGGGAAAAAAACCCACTATTAGAAGATGTCTGCTAAAACAAACAAACAACCCACCAAACCCAAACCTGCCCCAGATGATGCCTGCCAGCCTGGGAACCCAGCCCAGGAACCTGGAGCATCCTTGGCAACACCCTTGAAGGTTGGGAGCTGAAGGGCCACCGGTAGATAAGAGCCCAACAAAGACCTTGCTATAACCTGGGGAACAAAGAGGCTGCTATAACCCACGGAAACAAAGGACCCACTATCACCACCTGACCTCCTGAGGCAGCTCAGGAGCTGCTGCCCCACACCTGCTCATCCCCCTCCTCCTCCTGATGTGAAAACAACTCGTTTCCTGCCCCCCAAAAAAACCAGCCTCTGGGTCTCCAAGCATTAACCCCGGGGGGAAGGTCCCTTAGAGCCTCGCTGGGGACACGGTGACATCCATCATCTCCAGGGGGACATCCATCATCTCCAGGGGGACATCCATCATCTCCAGGGGGGACATCCATCATCTCCAGGGGGACATCACCCACCAGCTCCTGGCCCTGCTCCTGAGAGCGCCTCGGTGGGCAGCGCCGCCACCAACGTGAGTAATTTTTAAGTGTTTTTAGGTCTTTATCTTTGTAGATCTGAAGTGTGAAGGTGGGTTCTTCGTGGTCAGGATCTGTCCCAAAGGGCTGGCTTCTCTGGTAGCAATTTTCTAGTAGCTTGTGACATGTTTTCCTGATCAAAATAAGACTCGGGTGATGAACCATAGAATCGCGGAGCGGTTTGGGTTGGAAGGGACCTCCAAGATCATCCAGTTCCAACCCCCCTGCCCGGGCAGGGACACCTCCCACCAGCCCAGGCTGCTCTGTAATAAAGAGCTGGTGGGAACGGAACGTCGTGTCCTTGTGTCCCCCTCTGGGGGGGGGTGGGGTTGGGTGGTGGTTGTGACACCCACGGGCAGCAGGACCTGAGGAAGTCGTTATCAGAGCCTCCCTCATTTTGCTGCTCTTTTGTTGACTTGGCCAAACCAAGCAAAGGTTTGAGCTCCCAGGAAGCCCCTTCTTGGCTCATCTGTCTGTCACTTGGCAGCTCCGTGGGGACAGCAGATGTGGCCTTGGTGAGAAGGTCCACGAGTGTCCCCGGAGCAGCAGAGAGGGGGGGCTGCACGTGTCCTCAGGGGGGGCTGAGGCTCATCCGTGCCCACTCACCATGAAGATCCTCCTGCTCTTCTCCACCCTGGTGGCAGCCAACTGCAGCGAGCAGCTTTTTGTGGGGTGAGTCCTGCTGGAAGCCAAGGAAAGGGTGGTGGGATCACCCTGGGTGGGGGACAGGGGCTGGGGCTGAGAAATGCCCCATCTGCCCTCCTTTTGGGGTCAGTAGGAAGGGCAACATCCCAAAGGAAGGAGATCCAGCAGGTTTTGCCACGTGGGCACCAGGAAAGATGTGGTTTCACCCTGGCTTTGGAAGGGAGGTTTTTTTGACCATCCTCTCAGCTGCTGTGGAGGGTAGAAATCAGGGGGGGATGCTGAGCCCTGAGAGCATCACCCCAAGCTTTTCCAGGTTAAGGAGGTGGGGGTGCCTTGCTGCTGGAGGAGGAGGAGATTTTCTTCTCTGCTGGGGGCTGTACCCAGCCCTGGAGGAGCCCAGCTGGGCTGGAGCAGAAGCTGGGCCAGGGAACACCTGACATATAGACAGAACTTCTCCACGTTAGGTATTTCCTGACACTTTGGGAGCTCTCATGATGGACAAAGGCCACCTTGGGCTCTCCACCACTTGCTCTCGTTCCCCATTGTGGCTCTTCTGAACCTGTGGGGTTTTTTTTCCCCCCTCTTGACACCAGACCTCCACCAACTCATGCCCTTTCCAACTCCCTGAGCCAGTGTAGACCTTTGGCAGCCTCCACCCCAGCTCTGGGGGCTCAGCTCCTTCCCTCCACCCCATCCTCTCATCCCTCCCTCGTGCTCTGCTGACTCTGCCTCCCTGCAGGGACCAGGTTCTCCGCATCGTGGCCAGCAACAAGGAGCAGCTCACCCTGCTCAGGGTGCTGGGAGAGCAGGAGGAGCTGCAGGTGAGCTGTGCTGGGGTCCTGAGCATCCCCCCCGGTGTCCAGCAGTGGACCCAGGAGATGATGGAGCAGTTGGGTTGGGAAATGGGTGAAGGGCAGAGCTCAGAGGGTTGTGGTCAGTGGGGCAGCCTGGTTGGAGACCTGTGTCTTGTGGAGTCCTCCAAGGGTGGGTCCTGGGTCAAGTCCTGGTCAGTATCTTCATTAGTGACCTGGGTGGAGGGACAGAGTGTCACCAAGTTGGATGATGACCC